TGTACGGGAAGTCGAGCCCCCCCCCCCCCCCCCAACCCGTCAGTCGAGGCGTGCCACGGGGCTGACAGAACATGGCCGGCCTTCAGCTGTCGCACCATTTCGCGGTCGATCGGCCGCGTGGTCGTAACCAACCAGGATGGGTGCAGTGAACTAATATAATTCAAGTGAGAATTTTTACGCGAGCATAAACAGTGACCCCCTCCCTACAGTTTCTTTTGAAAATGGAGACCGTTCTGCTTTAAAAACGGTGGAATTGTGTAAATGCAGCCAAGGATCAACTCCCTGGTATTTGGGCTTCCATCTGAGGGCAGGCTTGATAAAATTACGGTTGAAATGGGTCCTATTTGCCTGAGAAAGTGGCAGGATGCCACTTGTAAAACGGCTACATGCAGGCTTGGAAACTATCACTTTTCAAAAGGTGATTTTGTTTTGGTGTGAATATTTAAAAATGTAATCGGCTAGTCTACCCAAAATTGAAAAGAAAAGAAAAGATGACTGTACAAGACAATAATTTAATTTTTGTTCGAGAAACCCCAGTGATGTCGGCTTGCATGTTATTTGGCCCTAGACTTTGTTGATTTTACAATGTTTTCAATAGGGCTTGAATTGGTTCAGTGCACCCGGATATTAGGGATACTAGGGTCTCAGCTTCGGTCCAAAAATTAGGCCACCGGTATCAAATGATCGAAAAGAGCACATTTAGAGTTGGAAAATGAGTGATAGCTTTGCAGTGTGAGCGGTGCAGTTTTTCGGGGTGTTTTCACTTTTTAATTTTTTTTTTCTCAAAATAGCCGCCAATATGCTTGTTACATGATTAATTATAATAACAAGCATGTTTTGGCCGCCATTTTTTTTTAAAGTGATAGCACCCAAAAAGCTGCCACCGCTGCAATGCTATCACATATTTTCCAACTACAGGGTTTCATACCTTGCCAAAAAAATCACAATGAACACTATTCACGCCTAATTATTTTGATGCCGACCAAACCCAGGCTGATGGCCTATGGCTCCTGTTGTAGATACATCAGCGGCCAGCTGGAGGGCGGCGTGTGCTGGGGGAGTTGCCACGGAATCGACGAATGTGCCCAGAGATCCTCCAGCCTGGTTTTCTGTTGATGAAGTCAGACCATCTCACCCCAAGTATGCGGCGTTAACGCAAATATGGAAAGCTTGAATTCTACGTCCATCTTCCTTGAGTAACGGGTCCATGTCTCAGATACATAAAGAGAATTGGTAAGATACAGGTTGTGTAGATCCGGGTTTTGGTTCCGAGAGTGAGGCGTTTGTTTCTCCAGACACGATCCAGCTGGCCCATGGTTGAAGAAACCAATTCGATGATGGATATCATGCAGTGGCGTAGCCACCGGGGGGGGGGGCGTGGGGGCGACCCCCCCCCCATGAAACCTTGTCACCCCCCCCCCCCCCCCCCCCCCACTGAGATTTTGAGTTTCTAAAAAAATTATCATTGATCTAAATCTAAATAGTCGCGAATGATCCACACGATGACCACTGAGAAACGACCCTTCGACCGGCGACCGCGGACCAGTAAGCTGACAACCGGCGTGACATCATAGCGCATAATGATAATCTAAAATGCGTGTTAACACCCACTGCACTGCTCGCTCACACCACGGAACACGTATTATAGACAGGTGGTCCGTGGGTCACACAGTTTCAGTCAGCGATATCACGCGAATCGGCCACACGCGCAAACTTTTTCCTCCATTCATATAAGCTAAATAATAATAATAGACCAATTAAAATTCCTTGAAATCAGTGGCGTAGCCCCTGATATCATGTGAGGAGTATCCATCAGAGTGAATGTCGCATCCAAGATAATAAATTTCTCCACTACCTGGCTTGCCTCAGTAAGCTGCAGGGGGATGGTCCCGAACCGGCGTTTTGGATCTTGGTCTTGACGACCCAGGACATACTTGGTTGGTTCTTCTCCTAAGGACTTCCACAAGGGAGTATAACTAGGAGGCCAGAAACACCGGGGCAAACCCCTTCTCTTAGCGATAAGTGTTACTGGGTTCTTTTACGTGCGTTAGGCCTTATACAACACACGGGACCTCCGGCTTAACGTCCCATCCGAAGGACGAATCAATAATGGTTAAGTGCCTTGCTTAAGGGCACAAGTGTCCGGGCCCGGGCTCGAACCCACGCCACTGTTGCCTCTGAAACACCAGAGCATGAGGCCGGTGCTCTTAACCGCTAGGCCATGACACTCCAGGACTCCAGGACATTATGTGTGGATATCTGGGTATTCCTCTATAATCACGCATGTACGCCTTAATGACGTCAAAGCCGATATGGTTACCAAGTGCGTTCGGCAACTGCATAGCAACACTACTTTATTGACTTATAAACTTGAAATATGTGTGTTCATATAAAGTTGCTTTTATTGGGCATGCGTGAGTTTATGAAATACCTATTTACTTTTCTCGTATTTAAAATCATTCAGTAGTGGTATTATTTTCATTAAAAGTCAATCTTGTAGCTTCGGAGATCTTCGAGCATTTCCGGAAATGAGTGGCCTAAACTTAACCTAAAAAAAACTTGCCCTAAAATGTCGGATAATTTATTTTTAGGTAACCATTTTGCAAAATGGTATAGAGAGTTCTGATATGAACGAGGAATATGAAAACCAAGCCCCCAAAACCCCCTATGGTTGCATGTCAGTAAATCGGTCCAAAATTGCCTACGCCGGCCAAATCACGACTTGCATGCACTCAAATTGTTCGGTTTTCGAGTTTATTGTACTTGTGGGCCACGAACTTGAGGGTTTGTAAAAAAAAAAAAGGATGGAAGCCGTGCACATGACTGTGAGCTTGTAGTTCTGTGCAATTTGGATAAAATTGGGGCACTAAAAGCGTTCTATTTTGCAATGGAGTGTAGTCATCGTTTTTCAAAATGGCGATGGGCTTCAGGACTTTTTAAAGGGGTGATCATCTTCGGATGGAATTTTTTCCTAAAAGTCAAAAATTGAAAAGAAAGTGAAAGCTGATGAAATAAGCTTTAATTTTGATGTGTGTCTCGAACACCTTGGAGAGTTGTGAGTATTTTCCCTGCATTTCTGAAGTGCGGGCATTTATCATTGGGGTCTATGGCAGTTTATTTACGGTCTGCAACCTTATAATGCGGGACATAATAATGCGTAGTTTGCATATTGGCCCGTTTTGAAGAGCGCCCCCTATTTTTGAAGATGGTACCGTGAAAAGTCATGCAACCAATATCGTTTGGATGCTGGACGTCCCGATTTAGCTCACTACAGAATTAATGGCAAAATCGGTTTTAAAATGGACTTGGGTTTACTGAGATTTTTCCAGTTGCTGGGCTCTGCCACGATACGATAGTCCTCTGGGATGGACTTCAATAAATTTGGATTCCAACTTGGATTTTGGGTCACTCTCCGGGAGCTTGAACTTGAAGTTCTGCAAGAGTGTGACTTGGGGCTTCCAATTCTGAGCATTTTGGTTGCTATTGGGCCCGAAAGTGGCGCTATTTTGCCATGTTGTGGAGGAATCGTTTGTCAAGATGGCTACTTTTCCGCTTTTATTGAGGAAAATAGGGGTCGTCTTCTTTGGGTGAGAATATCTCGAAAAGTCAATGGTCAACCCACCAAAAAATGAAAAGAAAACGAAAGATGACATGTTGATCATCATTTTTCCTTGCAGCTGGAATACCTGTGAGAGTTCTGAGTATTTTTAAAAGAATTTTGAAGTATGGGCATTTAGCACTAGTGTCTATGGGAATTTATTTGCAGGGTTGCATCCCTATGCATGCGGTGCTCAGTACAGCGCGAACAGCGACCTCACGCGGCCACAATTTCTATGCAAATCAGTTGGACCCAATCTAGCGCTTGGCGTTCAATCGTCGGCAAAAGCTTATGTTTTTCTTTATTTTGCGCTGGATTTCTAGCGCACGACCTCGTATGCGAATACAGATAGGTGTAGGCGGGGCTAATATGTGGAGTGTCCAATCACACCTTGGTAAATCCGGACGTCATCAAATTATTTGCAGCCATTCGCCTTTTGCGGACGTGACAGGAACCACAGTTTTTGTGCAATTGGTGCCGTGTGCAGAGACACACAGCGTGTACGTGTATGGACTATGTACATGTACGGTGCCACGTTTCACTCTGCAAGTTTCCACGCAACGATCGACCAATAAGAAAACGACATTTAAGGTCAGCTAAGGCTATTAACATAATGAGCACCACCCTCAAAACCTCACATGGACGATTGAACCAAGGCGCTAGATTGGGTCCAACTGATTTGCATAAAAATAGTGGCCACGTGAGGTCGCTGTTCGCGCTGTATTTTTAATGCATTGCATGCATAGATGTACATGTATGACTGCATGCATAGCGCAAGCGAAGATATCGTTTACCGCGTCACGGCTGGATAAATAACAACTAGCGCCTTGACCAAGGCTACGTGTGGTACGGAAAAAATAAGCACTTCTGTTTACTCTCGTCTCGAGGCCATCGATAATAATACGAACATGCGCTGACCATCAGATGGATAGCCCTAGCTGTATGGAACGCCAAAGAGGCATTTAATGTGATCGCCGAATCGGTGATGTACTTTCGCAGTCAAGTTAATACACCAGCGGTGATGGACTTTGCAATCGGTGATGGACTTTCTCGATTGGTGATGGACTGTCGGCGATGGACTTTGCGACCGGTGACCGCAACTTTGATCGCCGATTGCGAAAGACCATCACCGATCGCGAAAATCTATCACCGGCACCGAGCCCGATTGCAAAGTTGATCACTGCGCCGCTGGTCGTGCAAGTCCATCAGTGATTCACCGATCGCAACAGGCCATCACCGATCGCGATTCGCGAAAGTTCATCACCGATCGCAAACTCCATCACCGCTCGTGAATATGCATCACTAATAAAAGTTAATCACCGGTCGCAAAAGTCCATCTCCGATCGTGAATATGCATCCGATTGCGAAAGTGGATCACCGACGTTAAATGCCTCTGGCGCTCCATATACTCAAGACTAGTCCTGAGTCGGATCATTTTCATCGCCGGTGTCTGGTCAGTAAACCTTGGTCTCCAGATCCTTATAGCGGACATATCTGTCTGCCAACATGACGATCACAGACAAAGTCATCTCCGTTTTGGCCAACACGTACTACATATCAACCGTGCCTTTCCTCCTGTGTGCGGTCGTGACTTTCTTGGTCACGACGCTGATATGGCGGCGACTGACGTACTGGAGCAAATACACCTGGCCGCCCGGGCCTCGGGGCTGGCCCTTGGTCGGTAATTCACCGCTGATCGCTCCAAACTCTGGACAGACCAATGCCAATATCACCAGGATTGGAAAGCAGTACCATCCAGATATGTTTACGTTGACTTTGTACTTGGGAAAGTAAGTTAATAGTAGGTTTCTCTACATCCATGTTGTTTCTTACTTGTGGTATACTAGAGTATTAATAATAATAGCATATCACGTACGGGCTTTGTTTGAAATTCAATATTTATTACATGCGCGTGTACATCAGGTCGTTTCAAGTATAGAATACAGCCATATCTTTCTGATGGGAATCTTTGGGGCATTTCTTTGAACAAAAGCCAATCATATGCACAGTATAGAATATGTCATGATGGGACATATTTTCAATAAAATGCCCAACAACGGCGTGACCCTGAAAGATAGCTGACCCGCGACGGAATGGTCTAGTATACGTGCAGGGGCCAGGGAACCCGCGACGGAATGGTCTAGTATACGTGCAGGGGCCAGGGTTCAGGTCAAGGGCGTACCCGTGAAGCTGCGATGCCATTTGCATTGTAAAGGTCACGTCATTTTTTTGTTTACAATACGTTGATGACGTCGAGTACCAGTTGTATAGGACGTTGAAAAATGTCTCGTTCAATTTATACTGAAACATTAAAAAATGTGTATAATTTTATCTTTTTAAATGTCGGTGTTAAGAGGTCATATTTCTATTGCGCGCCTATTTAATACATGTACTACCAAAATTGCATGCCCTCTACCACACCAAGAGTCTATGCACGGATCCTACAATGTACAAGGATTAATGACTCGGCCAAAATCCCTGCAGTTGGAAAATATGTGATAGCATATTGCAGCAGTGGCAGTATATGCAAAAAAGGCGGCAAAAACATGCTTTTTACCATATAAATTCATAGAGCAAGGAAACTCGCATAATATTGGCGGCCATTTTGAAAAAAAAAATGTAAAATTGATAACACCCAAAAAACTGTCCCCGCTCACACTGCATATGGCTATCACACATTTTCCACCTATAGATGTGCATACCTTGCCAAAAATTAGTTTTGAACATAGTGATAATAAATCATTACATTTTGATACCGGTGTCCCAATTTTTGGACCGAAGCTGATAGCCTACACGGTGGTTAAAAAAAAGGACGTGTCCTTTTTTTTTTAACCACCCTGAATATAGCTCAGAATAATCGTTTTTACCTTGTTTTTAGTGCGTTTTACCTAATTGCAGTACGTTTCTACATAATTAAGGTAAATTGACTGCCTTACTTATTCAATATGTATTTTTCAATTTACATGTTTTCGAGGTATATATGTACTTTTTTTCCGGCGAATTTAACCGAAATTGTGTGTTATTTTACATAACAATATTTACCTTATTATTTTTACATATCTTTTTGGAGTGTATAACGATCTGGTGAAGTTTTGCATAATGGGCGAACGATTCTTTAAAACAATCCTGCATTCACACGCAGTTCCCGATCACTTCCACAATATAATGGATTTGTACTTGTACCAAGGACAAGCCCTAATAAAAAGAATGTTCAAGAAAATCAGTCCGGAACTTGTTGAGTTACCCTGCTCACAGACAAACACACTAATCAACCAACGCCGGTGAAACATAACTTCCTTGGCCGGGGTAATCCAGCCGCTGGCCATAATGTTGTGTCCTTGGGCAAGCAACTTCATCCAACTTGCCTCTCTCCACCCAGGAGTATAAATGGGTAGCATCATTAGCTGGGGAGTAACCTGCGATGGACTGGCATCCCATCCAGGGGGAATAGAAATATTCTCAGTCGTTTCATGCTACTGAAATCGGAGATAAACGCCGGCCTGATGGGCCATATTGGCTCGGGACAAGCTTTACTTTCACTACTGTCCCCTCCTCATTTCCTGTTTAATTGACTAACAGGTTGTGAAGATAACTGGGCAGTGCTATCGTATAGGATGCAAACAATATAGCATCCAGACCCTATTTTGGTTCATTTGTGTACAAAGTCTGTGGAAAGTCAAATGCATTTTCAAAGTATTCTCCCAAAAAAATTTTTTTATGGGAATCAATGTTAGGTTTTGCCCTTCATGGACGTATAAGCAATCAGTTTGTGACCGCCAGAAAAATCACTCGGGTGGGACTCGAACCTACGACCTCCTGCTCAGTCTAGTGCAGACGTCTTACCACCGAGCTTGTGGGATGTTTCTCAGTCCTAGATGCATGTCCGTTCAACGTGTTTGCACTAAATAACCGACCTTCGTTGAGATAATAATATAAAAGAAACAAAAGTGGCCCCGCTCATTCGGCCTATAGTGTAGACCAGATTCACGAAAAGACTACCAGTGAATATAATATGAATCCATCAAATAGAACTGTGTGCTCCATGACAACATAAATATATAGCCTTGCCTTTTCCTTTTTCTTGTTTTTTTTTCAGGCGCATGCTCATATTAAACAGCTTCGAATCCATTAAAGACGCCTTCGTGAAGCATTCAGCATTGGTTTCTGACCGTCCTAGTGTGTGGCCATTTACGTATGTCAATGAAAATCAACGGAATGTTGGTAAGTATTTGACATTCACCCAGTCCCATATATAGCCTCAATCCTGATATAGATTTGCGATTAAATGAAAAGGAATGGGAGCCAAGAGTCAAATTTTACCATTTCAGAGCTATCCGTTGTTTCTGGTTGTAGGCCTAATGACGTTTTCAATTTGCTCAACTGCGCTTGCTTTTGCGTCAACTACAAAGTTGAGCACTTAAGCCAATGTTTTAACGACATAAACAATTCTAAATTTAAAACTTTTTTAATTGTAAAATTTAGTGTTAAGAGAAATTGTTTACTGTGAAATCAGGTGTCTTCTTTGAGGATTTCACGGAGAGTTGGAAGAGAGAGAAGAAGTACATGATGCGAACCGTCCGTCAGTTTGGCTACGGTACCTCCGGCTCGGAAAGCATCATCCTCCAAGAAGCTAATCACCTGGCCGAGCTGATCAAGAAGAGAGGCGGGGAGCCATTTGAGCTCGGCCTCCCTCTCAGCCTCTGCCTCCTCAACGTGACCTTCTCCATGATCCTCGGTACCACCTACGAGGAAGATGACAAGGAGTTCTCCAAAATCTTGAGCTATGTCCTGGAATGGTTTTTGGAAATCTTCAAACTATACGACGTGGAGCCGATGTTGCCCTTCTATCACAAGTTCGGCCTCAGCCCTCGACTGAACAAGGGAAAGATGATGACAAAGGATCTGCTGGCGTTCGTACAGAAGCATATTCACAATCATAAGGCCACCCTGGACCCAGGCCATCCTCGCGACATGGTGGACGCGTGTCTGATCGAGATGGCTAAAGGTGACCCCAACAGTGACCTGAGAGAGTTCACCGACGAGAAGTTCTTGTGGATGCTGTTCTTCTTCATCCCGGACCAGGGAGACACGGCCTCGGGTCTATTCCTCTTCCTGATGCTGGCCACTGCCCTGCATCCTGAGGTGCAGCAGCGCGTCTTCCAGGAGATTCAAGACGTCATCGGGGACCAGCCGCCTTCGCTAAAGGATAAAGAGAAGATGCCGTACACGGAGGCTGTTATCCTGGAGACCCTTCGCATGGATACCACCTTCTGGCTTATAATCCCGCACGTCACTGCAGATGATGTTGAGATTCTCGGCTACAAGATTCCAAAGGGTACCACGGTCATTCCAAACATCTACGCGGTGCACTTTGATCCGGAGCTGTGGGGTGATCCGGAAAACTTCCGACCTGAGAGGTTTATCGACGAACAAGGCCGCATTAATCGACCAGATTACTTCATTCCCTACTCAACCGGTTGGTAACTTTTGAAAAAAACTCTCACAAGATATTATTTTGGTCCCCTATACTATAACTCACTTATTTTGACAAAGCTCAGTCGGAAGTGGTAAAGATAATCTCTACCGCATTGGCCAACTGAATTCCAGTCACAAAAAAACTTTAGTTCAGGTTTAATGATGGGAATAATTATAGTCCCGCCCCACAAATTAGTAGACTAAGCAGCGCTTACGTACAACTTTATTTTTCATTTCAAATTTCACACTGCTCTTAATTCGACTTTAATGACACTTATATACATATTCTGTTTTCAGGACGCAGGGCGTGTATTGGCGAGCAACTTTCCCAGAAACAGTTCTTCCTGTTCTACATCACATTGATCCAGAAGTACAAGTTCAAGCTCCCAGATGGTGACCCCATACCCAAGTTGGAATCGCAGTGGTTGTGGGTTAGCCCTCCCGACTATCGTCTGCAAGCGGAGCCCAGGGAGTAAACGAGAAGTAATCGTGGAAAAACTCTCAACACGCTGTTATAAACACTTGCTGTAGCACTAGGGGTCGTAACTCCAGTTATACTCCCACGAGGATGTTCTTTGGAGGTATTTTCTACAACTACAAGGTATTTTCTACAAGGTAACGGCTCTTATAAAATGCCTGTTATTATAGGATTTGAAGACTTACCGGATAGGACTGTCGTTAGCGGCGCATTCAGTATTATAGAGCCGTACGTACGTTTTTTCAGGAAGGTGTGACCCATTTACATGAATAAAATGAGTAGTTTCGATGGAATCATTCGCTCTTTGCACGCTCCCGCCATAAGCATGCAGAGCCTCGATCTGGCAACCTTACACAATAAATTTAGCCGGTTCAGTGGTTCCCATGTCAGGGTTCAGTACACGGGAATCACTGAACCGTCTATTTTTGTTGTGTAAAGTTGCCAGATCGAGGCTCTGCATGCTTATGGCGGAGCGTGCAAAGAGCGAATTGCAAGGCTGCAGGTTCTCGTACTATTTCCCATATACAGGGTAGTCCATAACAATGCCTTTATCAATTACAATGTAAGTCAACTTCCCGGTCGCGGTTTAGTAATTCATCGGGACAAAAATGACCCCACCTTGCTTCACAAAATAGGCTCTAGAACAAAAACTACTGGACTGAATCGGGCGATCTTGATTTCATTTTTCTTCTAAAAAGATTCTCCATGCATTGGTAACTGTGGTTTGAGTCTCAGGGTAGTGGAAGTATGCCATTCCGTTTGGTAGCTTCACGACATCCAGTCTTTGAAATTCTTTCAATGTAAATTGTCTAACTTCTATAACAATGGTGTTGACGTCATTGTTCTTTTTTTCCATAAAACCCATAATTTTACCAACTGACACAATAGCACCATGCGGCAAACTTAAGATTAGCTGAATGTATACAATTTACGATAAGTCCATTGAGATTTAGTTATTTTCTATCACGAAGCAAAAAAAAAAAAAGTAATCGTGAAATCAATTTAATAGCTTAGAAAATGTCCAAATTATTATAAGAAAATAAAAGAAATCACAAAAGAGGTACAATGTATCAACAATTGGCAAGTTTTGAAACAAATTGTGGTGTTCTAACTTTCACGTTGATTGTACAAATGTACTTTTCATTAATAACCCACGGACCTGAATGGTTCGATTAACATTCTTTTATTCCTGTCTCAATGGACGTGCATGTCAATTAGGACCATTGAATACAAGCTGTGCTTTCTAAATGGATCCCTCTGCAGTATCACAATTACCTTGTATTTCTTTGCATTAATTTTGTATAAAATTTACTTAGTAAAATGGTATACAATTGTATTTGATTTTTGGTACTGTGGAAAATAAACAAACCTGAAACCAACCTGAACCTGACAACGCCTGTGATATCGGATTTTGTTGTTGTTGAGGTATAGCGGGCGTGCATGATTGCCTCGTATTCGTTAGTTAGTTTCCAAAGCAACCCTAACTATATTGATAGGCTAAAGAGTGCTGCCGATGATGAGTTAAATAGCCAGAGCAGGGTCGAATTGATCAAGCGCGTGGTATACGAACTGAGAATTTCGTGTTCAAAGCAGTTTCACATTGCAAAGCGAGCACACGCATACATAAATTATGAAAAACTCGTGGATATTGGAAAAAAATGTTCTAATTACCAGGCGCCACTTTTTTTCTTCATATATCATCAATGAAGGTCAGTAATTGCAAAAATGATGATAAGACATGAATCTGGGACTGAGAAACATTTCCAATTGTGTTAGGAAATACTTTTTGTAGTTAAAGGTACAGTTTTTTTGCAGCTATCCGAAAAGTAACTTACGAAATTATTGTTAAAAAATATACTTGGTTTTAAGATTATGACACTTGTCTCCCTGTGAAATTATTCTTTCTGCCGTGCTGCCTAAATCCTCATTCGCCCAATAAATACGACCTTTTTAAGCACAAAGTAGGGTAAGAGTCGCATCGCGTCTTCGTTGTCACTTTGACATTTCTGACGAACACCTTTACCCAGACAAACCATTGTTCATCGGAAGACCTTCAATCTACCGTTATCTATGATGTATAGTATTGATCTTTCTCGTCATGAACCAAAGCAGCCCTTGCCCGCCAACGTTACATGGACGAACTTTGGTCAGAAACACTCAAGTGTGACGGTCTTTTTAATAGGCTGGGTGTTCATTGTGTAGCCTAAATAACGAACCAGACTCATTCATAAGAACAAAGTAGGGTACAGTGCACATGTACCAAGGGTCGCAACGCGTCTTCGATCATGACTTTGACATTTCTGACGAATACCTTTGACCAGCAAAACCACTGTTCATCGGAAGACCTAGCTAGCTTGCCTTGGCCCGACTGTAAAACAGTTCAATTGCGACAAAGTCTTGGAATTCTGTTATCAACATGGTTTCTTACACTTTAAAAGTGGGGTTGTAAGTTTGGGGGAAAAGAAAAACAATATACAAGGCAAGGCTATAAAGCTGGTGCAAGAGCGCACGAAATTCTTTTCAATTGATTCAAATTAATGACTAGTAGCCCATTATACTAATCAGTGGCTTAGCAGGGTAATCCCATATGGTAGCACTGCCAGTGACTCACAAGCCACAGTCAGTCAGAGAGTCAGTGAGTCAATGATTGATATTATGTCCATAACCCGTTGGAAGACACTGTAGCGTCATATTAAGTTATACCTGTTGGAGACACGTCGAATTAGGGAGACATTTTAGTGTCTCCATAATTCCACAGCCCCTACTTAGAGGCAAAATTATGGTGTCGCAAATGGGCTACATCGATTGCTCGGGGTCCAATTAGTAAAAATACTGAAATTCGTGGGGGTAGAATAAGGTGAAATTTGAGTTAGGGGTCATTAAAGTTGGGGGGGGGGAATGTGTGCACAATTCTTTGGGAATGTCTCCCTAATCCCCAATTATCGGTAATTATTAAAACCATAGTCATTATTATGGGAATAACAATAGTGTACCCTGCAACCCCGCACCCCGCAAGCCCCTTTAGGCGCCTCTACAGCGTGCTTCAGCTTACGCATGCGCAAAGCACGTATGTGGCGATGCTGAACGGGGCGGCCTATCAAAACCAGACCATTTTCCACTTTAGGTCAAGTCCAAAGTCGTGTATACGTCACGTAGTTGTATTTGTCTGAACCTTTACCAGCCTTACTCTGTCATGACTTTGGACCATATATTGTAGAGTTTTTGGTATTTTCGCGCATTGCTAGCTTGGTCAAAAGGCAGTGTGGGTTGACTGAACACATTGGTCGGCTGTTTGAGTGTATGGGACTTGTAAATGTTTTACTGAATATCACATCATAGTGACAGTACGAAAGGCAGACATTTTATATACTGTACACCATTATCTACAGAAACTACCATACTCTAAGCCAACATGGTTGAGCTAGCGTCTATTCTGGGTCTTGGTTTGGTTGCTGCATTGACGTATGCAGTCTGTGTCTTGGTGCGTCATGTTCAATCGCAGCGCAGAATTCGAGGAATTTTAATAAAACACTGGCCGGGACTTCCAGACCACTGGCTTTACGGAAATCTTCACCAGGTGAGAGAATCGTCGCATGGTGAAAATGCACCTTTGTATCCCATTTCAATTTTAGGTATTTCCTGGCTTTGCTTTTTATGCTAATATGATTTCTATAATAATTATGAGCAAAAGTGAGATGTCATTTTTAGACAGAAACCTCGAAGGTTACAGCTCTTGCATCACAACAATTTGCCAGAATTTTGAATTTTTTTTTTGGTAAATGTTTCTCTTTTTTTAGGGTGATTCGTTGTTGGGTCAGTAGATAGCTGTAAGCGGTTTTTTTTTGGGGGGGGGGGGGTTCACAATTTGAACAGAAATCCCCTAAGGCCAAAAAGAAAAATATTGCTGCTTCCGATTACATGGCATTTGAAAATAGGGTAGGTAGGTAGGGATTTTTTTTTTTTTTGCCAACTTTTTTGTGTACGATCAAAATTTGAGGCGTCTGCGTGTAGTCAAGGGTAAAAGGCAGAATTTGATGGTTTGGTGGGGTTTTTTCCTCATTTTTCTCATAAAAAAAATAGGGTAGGGGCTGTCAGAATAGGGTAGGTGGGGAAACCGGAAGCAGAACTATTTTTTGGCCTGAACTTCCAGTGTCTTCCTGAAAGGACATCACAGCAATAGTTTTCCAAAAAGGCATGGACGTTTTTCTGAATACATTTTTTTTTTCAAATACAATTAACCAAAAAGGAATGTCAAATAGTTTTCATACACTTTCAAACTCTTTAAGAAGAGTATAAAGTTATATAAAAAAAGCGTCCCTTAGACAAATATATCGCATGAACCCTTTAGGCTTGATATGGTATTGGAATTATCATATCATCTTTCTTGGGAACAATAATTGCGTATATTCTTTTCCCGGATTTAAAGATAATAAGTTTTACAACATATATATATAAAACTAAAATTAATTGTCAAGCTTATTATCTTCACTGTTTTGTAGCACCCGTTGGGAGACTCAAAGGTTCGAGCAGACGGTTCAGAGGAAGGGTTGAGATTTTCGAGGGAAATGGCTGTTAAATTCCCGCGTGGTTTCCGCTGGTTTCATGGACCTCTGACTATGACTGTGATGGCCAACCATCCTGATATAATGCGGGCAGTTATGAAGGGAAGAGGTAGGTATATAGACCATTATCATGTTGCGACCATCTTGATTTTTTTCCCATTGAAATCAACTTAACTAAAGCGAAGCTGGAAGGAAAAAAGTCTGGTTCCTTTTGCACATAGGTTTATAGCAATAGGTCACAGACAGGTGGAATGTGACTTCACAATGTGCAGTATCAAAATAGGTGACGTGACAAATGTGCCAGCTGGTATAGTTTTTGTAAAGTGCATAAGCAGCAAAATCAACTCACTCACGAGACCCCAAAAAGTGATTTTTTTTTCGGTTTTCTCAAAATCTTCACGGTGAGCAATAAAGGACAACAAATTGTAGAAAAATCAAAGGATCATAATACCTTCAAATCACAAATTGTGATTTGTTATACGCAAACCTTTTCCTTTAACTGAAAAAGATTTGACTAGAAACCAAATTTTGGATGATCTACCTTCCTTCAAATCCCTACAGATCCTAAGCCTACTAAGGCACTCGGGTCTGGCTACCGTTTTCTTCTGCCTTGGCTGGGGTATGGTCTGCTTCTTGCTAGTGGAGATACCTGGTTTCGCAATCGCCGCCTCATTACCCACGCATTCCACTTTGATATCCTCAAGACCTACATGACAATCTACAACAAAGCTACCGACATCTTGCTGGTGAATATCAACATCTATAAATATGTAGAATAATTTCACGCAGCAGCGCAGGGAACGATTTTACTACGTTGTACCAATTTTGTTGCTAGGTGTTAGGTTCTCAAGATTAATAAGAGCCTATATGAATTCAGCAAGCCATTTTATACTTCTTTCAGATAAATACTTCCTATAAAAGAGTTCCATATATACCCATTCATCTGGTAGGGATCAACATTTTGAAGGTTTTTTGTTCTTCCGATTTGATTCTGTTGCCTACAGAACAAGATGAGTGGATGTGCAGCAAGTGGTGAAAGTTTTGTGGTGACAAAGAACGTCAGTCTGTGTACGTTGGATATCTTGCTCAAGTGCGCTTTTTCTTATGAATCCGGCTGCCAAATAAGCGGGTAAGCCTATGTCTGTCGATATAGCATCTCATGTCCATTGACAATTTTTTTGGAAAATCCTCTTTTTTTTGCCTGTTACAGCTATTTTTTTTATCACTTCCCGTATGAAGTTTCATCCGTCGATGTGAATGTATCACTTCAAAATATTCAAAAGTGATGGCGACTTCTAGTAATAATTTACTTCACTGGACAATACTTAGCGCTAGTTTTCGAAATCATATTATCCAATTTACTATATTTATATTGAAATTCATGTAACATAGTTTTTCAATTGTTTGTTATGTGCAGAGACAGTCACCCGTATGTTACTGCGGTGAATGCAATTGCTCTTGCCAGCAGAGATCGAGTATTGTAAGTGCTTGTTATAACTTTTAATAATACATGTACTCTCAAAACGGGTTCCCCTGCTCATTTCAATCGTGCAAGAATTGTCTATCAAAACACGATCATGACTACATAGAGTGAAGTTTTTATTAAAATAAGTATACAAAGAATCTTTAATGTTTCTCCAAGCGTAATCAAATGCTGCTGTCACATGCACAACAGAATACAAATTGTACAACATCCTATATTAATAGGTATGTTTCTGTTCATGCATGCAGTGAGTTTCGCTCTAGGAGCCATCTTCTAACTGCAAAAGACTGATCCTGACCAGTTCTTTGTTGACCTACTTCGTTTTCCTCTCTTTTTCTAGCAATCCTCTTCTTCATCCAGATTTCATATTTCATAGGACTGCAGCTGGGAAAACATTTCTCAAAAATGTAGACTTTGTGCACGAGATCGCCGATAAGGTGATCAAAGAACGGCGAGACAAACTGGTGAGCAAAGTCGTCTTTGTATTTTTTCCCCTTGTGTTCGATGGGCTGAATATATTTTTTACAGGACATTTTGAGGGGTTTTTGTTTGGAAAAGGCGAGCAAACATTTTGGGTTCAATCAAGTGACCTTTGTTACTTCCAATCGTTTGTTGTTAGAGAGAGAAAGAGACGGATTCTGAGCCCGTGAAATCTAAAGACCAGCCCCTGGATTTCTTGGGCATCTTGCTGGCTGCTCGAGACGAAGACGGCAAGGGACTGACGGATCTAGAGATCCGTAACGAGGTGGACACTTTTCTCTTCGAGGGTCACGACACCACGGCCAGCAGCCTGACCTGGATGCTGTATGCCATGGCAACCAACCCTGAACATCAGAGGAAAGTCCAGGGGGAAATTGATGAAGTGATGGAAGGCAGGGAATCAGAGGAAATTCAATGGTAGGTCTACTTGGGCCATTGCCGTGTTTCAGCTCTCTGTCTTTACCACAAAAGCCTAAGTTGAGCAACTGCAGCAATTTACTGTTTTCTACACCTCTAATAGTCGTGAGTGTTTGCCTCTTGCTATTTAGGGAGGACCTTGGCAAGTTCAACTACTTGATTCTGTGTCTCAAGGAGGCCATGCGACTCTACCCTCCAGTACCAATGATCCAGCGTATTGTTGCAGAGAAAGACATCATGGTCCACGACAGGCTGATTCCTAAAGGCGCGTTGATAAATATGAACATCTACGCTCTCCACCACAATCCAGAGATTTGGCCGAATTGCATGGTAAGTCACGAAAATAATCCGTTTTACACTCACTCCATTTTGTGGATTTCAAATCACACTCCATTAAGTTCTGTTTTTACAACCAGGTCATTTCATATTACTTATACTCACATTTTTTTTTCATTTCCATTTATACAGGAGTTCATACCAGATCGTTTCGCACCGGAAAATATCAAGAATATGGATCCCTTCGCTTACTTGCCATTTTCGGCAGGTCCAAGGTAAATGATTGATGGGGTTGTGTCCCTTAATCCCCCAACACACACACCAGCAGGCATAGCCACCCTCCCTTCGTGGTGAAGTGTTGATGATTGTTTTTGTCAGGAGAGTTTTGAAGACGGAGACCTGCCATATACATTTTGCATCCTTATAAATTAATTGATTGTTTTACTGTTTAGGAACTGCATTGGACAGAACTTTGCCCTGAATGAGGAGAAGGTGATACTAGCACGAGTTCTGAGAAGATTTCACATCGAGTTGGATCCCGACCACAAAGTGACCGCCAGATTGCAGTTGGTTTACAAGGCAACCAACGACATCAAGCTTAAACTGAAACCTAGGTTTTAATAAGGGAATAACAGTGTGAGGAGCCGGTCTTCACTGCGTGATAATGACCGGGTGTGGGGGTGACCGCTGTTAATGGACCGAGACGAAGTCGAGGTCCATTAACAGCGGTCAGCCCCACACCCGGTCATTATCACGCAGTGAAGACCGGCTCCTCACACTGTTATTCCCATTAATAAATACCTTTATAACGAAATAAACAGTTAAAATGCTTCAATTTTGTGACTTTTTTTCCGGCGATATTTCCAGACTTTTTTTGTGTTCATGTTCATGGGCCATATTTTAGCTTAACAGCTGTCGTTAACGACCATTGATGGAGATCAATGTTAACGACGTAAACTCAACAGAAACTGCTGCCGTAGCGAAACAAATTACAACAATGTTTTCATATCTTTACCTGATGGAGGAAGCTGAAATCTCGTTTACACATTCCTTGTGTCCGGAATTACAGAGATGCTTGCTTTAGGAAAGGTAAATATGTCGGTGGGTGAAGTGTTTCAAAGAAAATAAATCGTAGATCTACGCTTTCGTCGTAAACATCCTCAGTATATACTGCACAGCTAGCTTTACGATGTCGTCTCAAAACTTCCTTACGCGCGCGCGCGCACGCATCCCTAGCAACTGTGTTGCGTACGCCGGCGCGCGTCAGTCTCACGCGATGGGGGTTGAGCGCATGTGCAGTGCTCAATTGTTAAAAGCTACCGCAGGACTGTTACTATATTTTGACCAATCATTGGCTTGCATGGGGCTGAACGGGGCTTGATCAATACTGGTTCAGGGGCCATTTATTCGCTTGATCTTTGAAGCCGGTCCATTATCACCGTTAATGACCGGCCACGTGATCGAGTCTCGACCAATCAGAAACCATCAACTCTCCAAGGTATTTATTAATCTAAAATAATCTGGCATTTCAATTTTTTTCAAATCAGCTGATTTCCTCCTAAATTCCATTGTCTGCCACTAAAAATTAACAAAACACCGTACAAATCTTCTGAAGCCTTGCGTTGTGGCTTGATTATTATTGCATGCCTAATTAATAAGGGAATAAATGTGTGTTTGTGAGGTATTATAACACTCTGTTTAAGACCGGTTTCGCCTCGGGTAATTATCGCCCATCCAGACTCAAACCGGTCTTAAACAGAGTGTTTAATACCGACCGAACACACATTTATTCCCATTCATAAATACCTTTTCGGTCCAAAATTTAAAAAAAAATGTTAAAAACTAGACGTTGCCAACCATTTTGTTCAACAATTTTAATTCATGTTTTACGAAACACCCCTCTGACTATAATATGGAATGCCCTCCACAACTTGTTACCTGATAGGGACAATTGGCGTGCACGTCGCGCGTACTGCGCGATGTCGCGCAAAACGCAGCTGGGCTGGTGAAGTGTGAATTTTGGACCATGAAATAAGGGAATAAATGTGTGCTCCGGAGGTTTTTATCACTCGTTTAATACCGCTTAGAGTATGGGTGCTGATAATTACCCGAGCCGGAGGCGAGGGTAATTATCAGCACCCAGACTCTAAGCGGTATTAAACAGAGTGATAAATACCGACCGAGCACATATTTATTCCCATTCATAAATACCTTATCCGTAAAAAAATATCAAATAATTCGTTCAAAAAATCCCGATTTTGTTCAAAAAGTTCACTTCATGCTTTCTGAAACATCCCTCTAGCAAAATAATGGAGTGTTCAGCTGGCGAGTAAGATGTAAACAACCCTTTTATGGAGATTGACGCGCGCGTAACATGTTCTGCGCGATGTCACGCAGAACGCACCTGGGGCGTTGCGTTTTGAATTTAGAACTATAAAATTCTGACTCGCTTGTAGTGTTGCGCATGCCTACGTGAGGATTGTGAACGTTCAACCAATGAAACGGTAAGAGGCACTGGATTTTTAGGAGTCCACATTTTATTGTGACACTGGAAAAGTGTTTAAGACCAGCTAGCCATGTCTTTATCATCCGTTTAAGACCGGCCACGTGACGGGCTCTCGACCAATAGGAATAGCTAAACTGTCTGAGGTATTTATGAATACTGATTCACTGGTAGTACATTGCGCATGCATACGGGAGGAATTTGAACGTTCAGCCAATGAAACGTTAAAAGGCACCGGATTTCATAGGAGTCCAAATTTCATGTGACACTGGAAAAGCGTTTAAGACCAGCTAGCCATGTCTTTATCATCCGTTTAAGACCGGCCACGTGACGGGTTCTAGACCAATAGGAATGCGTAAACTGTCTGATGTATTTATGAATTAAGCTGTAACGTACATGTAGACAATATCTGCCTGCAGTGCTGTTTTTTTTCAGAAATTGATGGATTTGGGGGTTGGTATTTCATAGCAAATATATACTGACCTATTTCACGTTTTTGGAAAAACCAAAAAGAAATGCTGTCCTTGTTGTCTGGTTCCCTGGCCCTACTTCAGACGAAACGGAACACTTTATAGATGTTGGGAAATTGTCAGGTCTAGGAACCAGACTAACTGACACCCGTTCACGGATGTGTAACCGATTGCAAACACAAATTTGGACTAACTAAATTTGATAAATTGGGGTCAGTATTCTAAAAAACAAAACAAAAACAAAAACAGTTTTTCCAACGAGATTCAGCCGACCATCGTTGGAAATTGCTACAAAATTTTCACTTTTCTTGAAAATGACAGTGCAGCAGGTGCCATAAGTTCAAAGGATGCGTGAGACTATTATTCATTATTCGTTATTCTTATGTTTGCAAAATGTTATAATTACCGTTAAGGTATGCTTTTACGTTGCTACTTCATGCTAATTTGTTGCAACTTACTAATTTAGGAGTGGCGTCAGCTTAAAATATGTCGAGTTCTAAACTGGTACCAGTGACCTCTAATTTGTTTGTAAATTTTACTTAACCAGTGACTGAGAGTACTTACGCATGCGCGCGCCTGCGCACGGTTTATAAATTATGGCGGTGAGGTTGAGCGAACACAATGAGCCTTATTCACGAGTCGGCCATATTGAATTGAAAGTGAGGTAAAATCTTTTTTTTTTAAACTTGCAAAAAAAATGAAAGCAACTTTTTTAGTAATAAATTCCAGTCTGCTTCAACGAATCATATAAACATTCCCTAAGGCCAAAATAAAAAAAAATATTCGGTCTCTGGTCAGACCAAAGTTCCGGAATTGACGCGGCCACGCGTTTTTTTTTTTTTTTTTTTTTTTTTTTGATTTTTTTTTTCTTCAAGCTTGGATTGTACAGACAAGGTGGGTACTATTTTGCTTTTTTGGTGTCCTCATTTACATTGGTGTCCTCCATAATTTGCCTTGGTGCTTTCGATCATTTGCCTTGTTGCAATTTCCCATTCCTTGGTGCTCTTTGGTAAAAAGAAAAAATTGAGGAGGTGCGGAAATAGAGGGCGCTGTTGGAGCTACCGCGGAACATTTTGGAAAAATAAAAGGTCGACGCGCATGATTAAAATCGACGCGCGCGCTGACCAGAGACCGACTTATTTTTTTTGGCCTAATGTTAAAAGCCAAAGCCATATTCAAAAACAAAATGACGGTAAAATAAAGGCTGCAATTTGCCTGCATAAATAGTCTGGCGTCATCCCATTCAACAGTTAACAATAAAATGCATTAAAAGTGAACTCGACAAAAATGGCCAACTCGGAATAAGGCCCATGCCTGGCGTTTCCTTCACACACAAAAAATGCAAGAGAGATCTGTCACCGGAGTGGAGGGCGGTGGATGTACAGAGTAAATGGAAGGTGAAACATATCAGACCTCTGTTCTCTGTCAATCTTTTTAAAGTTAATTGTTTTGGCAAAATGTTTGGGCGATTCCATGGAATTATAAACCTCAAATGAAACAACTTCAAAACATTTCCAAATGCATGAAATAAAACACGTAGGCCCCCTATATAATTTTGGAGCTGATCATTTGTTTTTTTATTGAAATAGATATGTAGTTTATTTCCAAGTACGTCTGATATATAGTGTTTTCCAACTGATTTCTACTACAGCGACAAACTTGATGAATTATGTTTTCTTCTTTGTCTTCCTTAAGTCGTTATAGTTACTAACTGATTAAAATCCACTTTATTTTAAAAATCCACTTTATGATCATAACTTTAAATTTGCACACTATTGAATTGTCCAAACGAGAGGTTAAACTGTCAACTGTTCTGAACGGGCAAAAATGTCACAATGAGACCGTATCATAACGTTTGGATTTGCATGTCGAGATATTTTAGATTAAATTAGATTTAAAATTTTATTTACATAATTATGTTGTATATAAGTTGAGCTGTAAAAAGGGCATAAGAAAAAAATATTAAACCAGAAAAAAATAAATTAAATTTCGGCCCTCACGTGATCAGCAAGTCATTAGACTAAATTATTTTGATGCACAACATTAATGTACATGTATAGGCCTACACATCTTTGTGTTTACCCCACCATTATCCTGTTTAGAAACGTTGTTTAAAAGTTGTAATAGTTTTACAAATATTTGTAAATAGTTGTTTAACAGTTAATTCCATGTGCTTCTATTTTATTGTATTGTACTGTGTAACTGTACGTGCATGTAGTCTCTTATGTATGCAGTGTCTGGGATATAAGAGTTCACTCTGAAGCGCCACTAAAACTGTATAGCGCCCTCTATAATGTGTTGCTATGTTCACCAGACATGCAGTTGAAAGAGTTCAGAATACACAGTTGTTAGTCAGAATACTGTCTGAAAAAGTGTCGTCTTTTACAAGCCTCAATCATAAATAGAATCACGTAACATGCAGGGCCCCAATGAAAACTAGTTGAAGCTGTTTGGGCATATCCTGGATACAGAAATTTAATGAATTCATAAATTAATATATAGCAAATAAACGTATAAAAATAAGATCAGTTAAAAGGCCTACTTTTCAACAATTGCTTAAAAATTAAACGTTCAAGTACAAACTAGGCCATATGCTAATAACATTTCATTATTTTTGTAAACTCAAAAAAAAGGCCGTCACAAGGTCA